GTGTAGAGGGGTGGGGGAGTTGACATTCCCCCCCCCCCCCCCCCCAGTGACGGCCCCCCCGGAACTGAAAAATAACCTGGGATTTCCAGGGTACCTACCGCTGAACCCTGTAACCGGTTATAACCGGTACCCCGTTATGGACATCCCTGTATATATGCATATGATGAATCTGAAGAAATGTCACCCCGCCTCCACCTCTCCGCTTCCATCCCCCCCCCCCTCTCTCTCACAGCCTGTCTTCGAGAGGACACGCCCTAGTCCGCCGGGCCCGGCAATCGATGCTCGGCCTCTCGCCCGCGCCCAGCGTAGTCCTGTGCTCCCCGCTGACGAGGGCGGTCCAGACGGCCATCGCCATGTTCGGAGGATCAGGGGTGAGAGAGAAAGCGTTAGTGCTGCTGCTGCGCCTGCTGTGGTGTTTTTTAGAAAACGGACAATACAATCAAAGAGAGCTATTGTGCCCGTTAGAGTTAGTAACGCAGTCGAAGGGCAGGTGTTGAGAGTCAACAGTCTTTTCTTCTTTTTTTTTTGCAGCAATGAGTGGAGAAAAAGTACCACCCGGATACTTGAGAACAGCTTTCGATTTCGTCCATGTGTGTTCTGTTGCGTACACGTCTTTGTCTTGTCTCTGGGCGCGCCCTCGCTCCTAACCCCAAAGCCACAACGGGGGGTTGATCTAAGAGTCATGACTTTGCCCTGCTTTGCGAAACGGTCTATCGCTTGCCGTGCCCCCCGCCCCCCTATCTCGAGAGTGCTCATTCTCTCTGCGTGCATCTCTGTCATGCCGATGCTGTGCTGTCTTTGCGGGGCCTTGACTGGGTTCAGATCCCCATCGTGGCGGTGCCCGAGGCTAGGGAGGCCTACGGGAGGTTTCCGTGCGACCGCCACCGGGACAGGAGCGAGCTCGAGCTCATGTTCGGAGACTCGGTGGACTTCAGCCTCTGCGCTGTCCAGGTAGAGCAGGGTATAGGTGGAGGGGGCAAGATGCGAGAACCTTTCGCCGCCGCCCCGCCCGCCCCGTGTTGTCGTGTCGCTTACACTGCTGCTGCTGCTGCTACTACTTACGCTATTGGTGGTATCCAGTTCTCTCTTGGAACGAAACTGATCGGGCAGTCGCCGTGTCGTCGCTGCTGCTTGCGTGCTGCTTGCCTTGTGATACCGCCGTGGTACTGCTGTGATGAGTTGGCCTGCCTGCCTGACCCAACACTTGGGATGCAAAACAACGTGTCGGCGCCCGCCGGTGGCCCGGACCATCAGTCGTCGCACCGCAAGTTAGACGCCCCTCTCCTTACTTCCCTCTCTGATGGGGATGAAAAAAGACCCCGATCAACTAATATCACAACTCTGACACATGGACGACACATGGCCTCAATTCACATTGCGTCCCCCAAAACTATTCACAACACAACGCATAATCACACCCATCTATTCCATGTTTTGCAGGACACGGCGTGGTCGCCACACCACCGCGAGGAGATGTCTCAGCTCGACAGGCGCGTCGCCGGGTTCGTGGACGGCCTGCTCCGGCGGGAGGCCGGCCACGTCTTCGTGGTCTCCCACGGCGTTTTCATCGAGGCGACGCTCCGGCAGCTGGCCCACGGGTACCCGGGGTAGGTTTAAGCTAGGGCCTTACCGTACGCAGTCTTTCGCGCGCGCGCGCGTTCGATTTTTTCAATGCTTGTCGGGCGGACGCCGGGGGGGGGGGGTTGGTGGACCGGTGGTGGAGATGCCGCGTCGGAAGGTGCTTCGATAGAGAGGAGGTTGTGCTGCTCTTCTCGCCCTGCCGTGGTGGTTGCTGTGGCCGTTCGTGGCGGCGCTGAGTGCGATGTCGTTTTCTCGATCGTCGGCGTCGAATCGAGGCCGTGTCTATGTTGTGTTGCGTGTGTGTGAGGGGGTTTGGATGTTGGTTGGCTCTTGTCCTTCCGACGCGCCTCGTGTGTTTGCTTGTGCCCCTGATCCATCTGCTGCTGCTGCTGCCGGGGGCACGGCGGCACACCGGCAGTGCACAACTGCAACAGGAAGCGTTCCGGTTGTTCTCGACTGTGTCCGCTTGTGTCTTGTACGCGTACGTCCGCGCACCCCCAACCGCCGTCCTCCTCCGTCTATCCAACCTATGCATACTATGGTACCGTTTCCAGCAGATGCGCCCCCCCCCGCAACCCCTGATTCCCGTCTCGTGGTGTTTTTTGCCTCTCAAAGCGTGGCCCCTCCCCTCCCCTCCCCTTCCCTTCCCTTCCCTTCCCGGCGACACGCACGTGTTTCCCCCCAACCCCCCTCGGGCTCGTTTTTCCGCCACCGACCGGCGATGACTTTTTTTCGCGATCTATCGATGGATGGATGGATGGATGGATGAATGATCACAGGCACATCGGCAAGAACCGCGTGCACAACTGCGACGTGCACTCGTTCGTATTCTCGGTGGCGCCCTCCTCCTCCGCCGCTGCCGCCGCCGCCGCCGCGGTCAAGCCTTCGTCCACCAGCGCCGCCGCCGCCGCCGCCGCCGGTGCTTCTTCTTGTTCGGGCGGTGGCGTTGGGAGGGTACCCCCTGCCGCCGCCACATCCACGGCGCCCCCCCGGGTGGAGGCTTACCTGACCGGTCAGGGCCTGGCACTCGCGTGCGCGGCGAGGATGCCGCTCCCCGCCGTCGCCCACGTGAACCGCACCATCCGCCGCTTCTCCGGAGACGGCCTTAGCCTCACCGAGCGCCAGTTCTCGGCCCTGCTGGCGCGGTGCGAGATCGGGGCGCAGGAGACGAGGTGGCTGTACTGCGCGCTCGACCGGGAGGGCGGCGGGAAGGTCGCCGCCGGCGACCTCCTGCAGGCGCTGGTGGCGTTTCACTCGGGGGGGGAGGAGGCGGGGAGCGTTGCGGAGCCCCCCGGGGCGCACGCCCGTCACGGTCTGATGGATCTCCGCGTGCGGTACCAGAGGGAGGTGAGAGGGGGGCGGGCGGCTGCCGTAAGTCTACAAGCGGTTGTCATGGCATTGGATTTCAAGGTAGAGGGTGCGCGTGCGGCTGTAGGTGTGTCTCGTGCAGGGCTTATAGTGTTGGCCCTGTGTTGGTTCCCATCCGTATTACACCCGCCCTCGTCTCGTGAAAATTGTCGTCGAGAGTGCTGTGCCGTTGCTGTTTTGGTTTGTCTCTTCTCACCTCCCCCCCCCCCCCCCGGCGCCCGCTTCCCCTCCTCCCTGTTGACAAGATGTACGGGACGCCGCTGGCGAACTACGAACTCCTGGACGCGACTTTTAAGCGCATCCTGTTCACGGTGCTGGCAATGTCGTGATTACGTCAACTGCAGCAACGCCAAAAAAAAACAAAAAATGACCAACCCTCGCGCTTGCGAAAGCGCGGGGGGCTGGTGTGTAAGAAAAGGGGTAGACAAGGAAGAGAACGAGCGAGGAGGGACGAGAGTGCAGCGCAACGGTAACGGCGGCCACAGTCGAACGGTAACGCCTTGAACAAGCGAATGGGCGGCACGAAGGAGGGAAGGAGGGAAGGGAAGCGACGCCAGAACCTTGGAAACGGTTTTGCTGTATTCACAGCTACAGCAGTGCTGTCGTTTTTTTCTTCTTCTGGGCTTCGGACCTAGGAAGGAGGTTAACATGTACGTACAGCAGGCGGACAACAGACAACAAGGCGTCCATCCCGGGGTTATTTATACAAAATATGCTGTAGAGACTTTTGGCTTGAAGCCTTCGGCGAAAAAAAAAGAAAGAGCTCAATCGAGTTTGGTGGCCTGGACCTAGGAAGGAGGTTAACATATACGTACAGCAGGCGGACAACAGACAACAAGGCGTCCATCCCGGGGTTATTTATACAAAATATGCTGTAGAGACTTTTGGCTTGAAGCCTTCGGCGAAAAAAAAAAGAAAGAGCTCAATCGAGTTTGGTGGCCTGGGCGGGAAGGGAGAAACTCCTGGCCCTCCTGCCATCTGTCCGAGCAATCAGTACCTGTGTATTTTCTTGGGTGACGTGCTGTATTTTTGGAGATGGGAGGCGGAGAGGTGGAGGGGGGTAGAGGATGCCTTGGTTTCGCCGCTACGTTTGTTTTTCGAGGAGTTCGAGATGAGATGATGCGGCGAGATTCTTGGAAGGGTAAAGGCACCCGCTGACTATGGAAGTTATAGCAGCAGGTTGGCGTTTGCCCGGGGCGGGTCGGTGGGTGGGGAGTGCCTTGTGGTTTGTCGTTGTTTTTAAAGCAGGATAGAGCAAGGTGGGGTGTACCTGATTTCGGTAGTCGCCACGTGCACGCCTAACGGGCGGATGTCCTGTTGGCTTTTACACACTACAGTGTGCTGTGTCGAGTTCACCAGCAACAGTTGGCTCGCGTCTTCCCCCTGTATGAGAGAGAGAGGCGAGCGTTGTTTGGTGGCAGCCGATTGAATGGTAATTTTAGAAAATTTACGCCCCTGGTGTTTGTGCTGGACCTCTCACCCATTCCCGTGGAAATTTACATTTTACAAGTTGTTAGCAGACATTTCTCCAAGCACGACATGCTTCTGGGCAGGCAGGATAGTAGGTCGCGTACATTTCCGCGCGCTGTATTTATTCACAGCCGCAGGAGCAGAGCCATGCATGGTGGCATGTACTCAGCTGTCGTGCGCCGTGTTGCTTGCTCTTGTCCATTGTGAATTTCTTTGCTTAGTTTGCACCTCTGGACACGAGATGCTTCTGGGCAGGCAGGATAGTAGATCGCGCATATGCATAACATAGAATTTATGTCGGTGCTGCTTCCGTTCGAACAAAACTTGTTACGAGTACTAGATGTGGCCCCGGCTTAGTAGGGATGCGAGGTCTAGTGTCTGACGACTACCTTGCGCAGATGATTGGAAGGTGCCATGCCGGCCGAAATGTGGAGGGGGGAAGCGAAGCAATGGCGTGACTTGGGTTCTCGTGAATCGTTGTGAAGAATGGGAAGGGCTGTAGGCTTTCCCATCCCCGCTGCCTTCCTTCATTGGTTTTGTTGCAGGGGATGGCGAGGACGAGGGAAGACAGCGTTAGTTTTTTCGTCTAGCCGTGGGGTGGCTTTTTTTTTTCGCTTCTGCTGCAGGCCCCTTTTTGAGGCGATCTTTGCCCTACTGCAGTCCCCGGCTGTCTACTGTGCAGAGAAGAGGGGGGGGTGGGGGGGGGGGGGTTCCGGCGAATCATAAGGATCTCCGTGCTAGGTCTCGTCTTGTATTTGCATCATTGAAGCTCCCAACCGGACTTTCGGTAGGACTTGTCGTGTCTTTTGTCGCATACATAGATGGCTGACAGTTAGCAGCTGTGTGTATCGGCGATCAGTATATATTTTAGTACCGAAGACTTGCGGATGGATGTTTGCAGCAGCAGGGGGATCCGGCGGCTGAGATCGGTAATATCTTTGGCGAGACACCCCACCCCGGCGTCTGTGCTTGTTCATCGTTGGCCTTGGGGCGGCGCCAGCATTTCTTGCGGCACTTCTCTTTGTAGCGCAGGTATTGATTGCTCTTGGTATGACTGGATTATATATATGCTTGTTAGAGTCAGGCTTTCGTCTCTGTCCTGTCACGCTCCTCTCCTGTAGGTTGGCTGCCGGGCGGAGGTTCCTTGTAGAGCACCACTTGCTCCGTACAGACCTTACCTCGGCCCGGATCAATCGAATGTTTTTTTCTTGTGGGTGTGTGCCGTCTCGTTGCAAAACGCGTTAATCAGAGTTGACTGCAGTTTTTTGGGAGGGAGTGAGAGAGAGCCCTGGTGCTGGTGGTGGGGAGGGTGGGAGGAGGCTTGCGGCTTGTGTTTTGTTGTGCGGAAGGTGCTTGTGTGGTGGGACAGCGCGCGGCGACGATGTATTTATATTTGATATTTCGTGTGATGAGTACTTAGTAGGTGAACGCCATCAGCATGCATCATCTTCGTTTCTTACGTACGACAGGGGGTGTGTGTGCTCTCTTGAGCTCTCTTGAGCTCTGATTGGGTTGTCACCTCCTGGTGTCCTTCGCCGTTGCTTGGCCGGACGCGCAGCAACCAATGAGAAACTACACAGCAGGTCAGGCTCGGCGCGTCTATCCATGCATTTTATGCAATAACCATGGAAGCACAACAGCAGTGCTTGAGGTTTAATTACGTTGGGAAGCCGTGTCGAACAGGTCGGTCGGTAGTAGTAGCGGCTGTGACACCGATGGATCGAGTCTTCTTGTGTTTGGATGATGCACCCGGCGAGGTTGTCGTTAGTGGCTGCGTAGCACGAAGTATGCCGGTGGTCTTAAGAAAACTCTTCTTGGACGCACCGTAGACGACACGTTTGTTTGTGTGTGGCGACGGACCCGGAGCCCATCACGTGGCTAGAGAGAGAGTCCGTGTGTATTAAAGACGTTCGATCGAGCGACGATCATCGACACGAAGGGACGAAACAAACTCGCCAAGAAGCCGCTTCCGGGCGTACCGCGACGTTCGGCTGTGGACTTCATTCACGTCTACCGTTGTTGCCTTTCGCTCACCGAATTGTACTACTGTACCACCGAACGAACCAAGTCCATCGAGAGGAGCGAGCGAACCGCCGGGCCGCGGCGGGCTGTTTCCTCCTCGTCTTCCCCTTCCTCCCCACCACCAGCAGTACCCTCCGAACTTCCCGAAAAACGCAAGGTTTGGCCTTTTTAGACATGCAACATTCACTTTTCCACACCCCGGTGGCCACTTCCTGCTCAATAACCCGTTGGATATCATCACGCACCACCATTTTTTGCTATCAGTCGACACGTTATCAGCACATAAGACTGGACGGTCAGCGTATTGCATGGGAGTCGGCCGGCTACACAGGGGAATCACGACGACACCACAGATAAACTAGCCACCAAGGCGGAAAACACCCCTGTTAGTTCCTACCTGCCCCAACCGTCCTGCTATCATACTCCAAACAAACCTGATTCGTCACGACAAAAAGGCCAGGCAGCAGTGTCAGCCTTCCTACGTGTACTTCTACTATAATAGTAGGCAACAAGGAAAAGACGCCCCCGAACGGAAGTGGGCGGAGCTGCTGCTGCTCTTCTTCTGTGTCCGAGCACCCACTGGATAACAACCAAGGGCAACGCTTTTTTTATGGGCGGGCACAGACAGAGCGGCAACAATGCAAGCGGTAGACAGTTTTCTCGTTTTTCGGCGGTAACGCCTTTCTTTCCTCTCCAAGTTTGAATAGCAAACTCGTGCAATTCCGCGAACATTCGCGCGCCCCCCTGCACCTACAGTACTGTGTTTAAAACTCATTCCACCCCGTCGACTTCTCCGCCTCTCTCTCCCACCCCCCCTCCCCCGGCCCTCAATTCCCCCCCAAGACCACCACCATGCCCCCCTCTACCACACCCGAAAACTCTTTTATGGGCTGTAAGGCCAGTCGAAGTACCGAAACCATGACCACACTACGCCACAATTTAAAAATAAAACAATAATCCAACAGCAACCGTCCCCAGTCCGGTTCCTCTTTGGTACAGCCAACAGAAGAAAGAGTACAACAGAATAAAATTTAACAAACAAATCCCTTTTTTTTAGTTTCTCAAGACCACACCACACCACACGACCGGACCACACAAGAGCAGCAGCGTCGTTCGCAATGACGAAAACGCTATTTTAGCCTCCCGCCTGCCCCGCCTCCTAGGCCCGGCCAGGCAAGCCCTCGTCTCCACCCACCCCCCCCCGCACGCAGCTCTTCTTCAAACACATTCTAGGCCCAAGCTTGGCTCTCACGTCACGTCAGAGCATGAGAAAAGCAGAGCGCGACCTCTGTCGGCACGGTGTGAAAGCCCTGTGGGCGCACCAATTTTCTGCTCGAAAAAACACGGACGCCAGGACACGCGCCACAAGCCACAAGCCAAGCACTCCTCCCTCGCCTTGGTTTTACCCTGCACCTCTTCCTCCTGCTTGCTGGTCTAGTACTTCTACCACACCGTACTTCCTAGAGAACCTGTAAGCCAGATGGCCATCAAAGGTTGTGACCTACTGCTGTGTTACACGTCCTCTAGCCGCCCTCGCTTGTGCGGTCACCCGGTGTCAAGTATCCAGAGAGAGAGAGAGAAAGTGAAGGAGTGAAGGAGCCAGAAGCCCCACAAGCCGGAAATTCGTGCATGTTGCATACGAGCGTGCGTGGCATCGATGCTGTCGTTGCTTCGCGGCGAGAAAACAAAAGGGCGCGCCACGATCGTAGGTAGACAGAGATCCCGGAGCGTGCTAGCAATGCCAATGTGGTCCTTACAGTACTCGCTCGGTCAAACCAGTCACTCGTACAACTACAACAAAAGCACTTCTGATGAGTGTGCGTGTGTGGAAATGTAATTTTTGCTGATTGTCTTTACCACCCCCCCCCTGACCCCGCAAGTCGCACCAACAGCGCAGCAGCACGATACAGTCAGGCATCCCGCACTCCCATGGTATGGCATGCAAGGCAGCCAGCACCAAGGGGGGCGGGACAAACAACCGTCATATCGCTCGACTTGGGCTGGTCCCCTGCACATGGCGGAGAAGGTCGTGGGCACGTTCTTAACATAGGGGTCGCGATCTGCCTTGCCACCCCCCCCCCCCCCCCTTTTTCCCCCATCCCCCCACGTTTTCCCCCCCCCCCTATACTCCCGGGCCTTCCCCCCGCCCCT